TCTGGCACGGGCACCCACAGTGCAACTGTGGCGAAAACAGTGCACAGGACGATCATCTAGCTTCACCACGACTCGCACAGTGCAGGTCCACAGGTTTGACAGGTATCCTCCCAGAGAAGATATTTCTTGTTCAGGGAGCACAGGTTGTCCTAGCCCGCTGGGCAGGTGGAATTAGCCACAACACTTCCAGCAGTGGGTTTATAGTTTCGCAGACAACTTTATGGCTGGCCACAGTCAGTCTTCTGATTTAAGACCTACCTTCACCCAAGCCAGATTTGCTCTTTCTGAGTTCAGAGAGCTGAAGGGGAGATCAGGAAAGTTAATAAAAGTTAACAAAAAGGAGACACCAAAGGGCTTGTATTATGTAAATCAGATTATGGGAACCTATTACTTATCCAGGATAGACATGAAAAGAAGATTTTGAAACCCTCTGGCAGGCTCCTTGGGAGTGTTTCACCATGTGATCTGGGGAAACAGACTTTTTTTGTTCGAAATCTGATCTTTCCCTTCTGTACGCAGAAGAGAAATGGGTGGGCTGGCATCACCCTGGCCAGTGGGGGGGATGATGAGGGTCTGCAGGAGAGCGAGCTCCAGTTTGGGGGACCAGCTGTGACGTAGCAGCCCTGCGGGACGGTGCTTCATCTCCTGCTGCCTGTGGCTCTGTGAGTGGGGGGAGACGCACCAGCTCCCTCCTCCATCCCGATGTCAAATTCTGCCGGAGGGGCTGCAGGAGCACAGAGCTGGGCGCTCCCTCCGCCTGGGCTGCTTTTACAGATGGGATCTTCTGCTCCCGTTTTTGATTTTTTTCACCTTTGTGAGCTTTGCTCTAACCTGGCTGAGAGGGTCCTGGTGGTCCCTGCTCCCACTGTGCCACCCTCCCCTGTGGCTGGCACAGCCCTGGGGGGGCGAGAGCCCTCCAGGGGATCCTGATCCCAGGGGGCTCCGGGGCATCCTGGGGCACTTGATCCTAGGGGACTCCTGGGGATCCCAATCCTGGGGGGCTCTGGGGGATCCTGGGGCACCCACTCTTGGAGGGTGCCAGGGAATCCTGATCCCAGGGAACTTCTGGAGTCTCAGGGCACCCAATCCTGGAGAGCTCCAGGGGATCCTGATCCCGGGGACTCCCTGGGACCCCGGGGGATCCCGAACCTGGGGGATCCCAATCCCAGGGACTCCTTGGGACCCCGGGGGATCCCGATCCCGGGGGAACCCGATCCCAGGGACTCCCTGGGACCCCGGGGG